AACACTTGAACTTGAGTGCTTCACGGTTTGGGCGATCAGTCAAGTTAGTAAAACAAAAAACACTTGAATAAGTGTTTTTACACTGGAATAAAATATTGTTCACAAGTCGGAAATCACGAGTCTCAGTCGAGTCTGAAGTCCTTTAAATGCAAGTCTAAGTCAAGTCTGAAGTCATTAAATATGCGACTTAAGTGCGACTCGAGTACGAGTCACAAACTCGAGTCCCCATCTCTGGTTTGGACAGATGCAGCTCCTGCGTGTTGCTGGTCTCTTTTGTTCCATGGTAGATGTAATGAATAGGGGTGTGGGAAAAAAAAACGATTTTGAAATATATCAGTTTCTAATATCGATTTTCGTAAAAAAACTGGAGCCTTTTCACTGTGCAGCTCATCACCATCACTGTAGTTAAGGCAGTCACAGTGAACTGACTGAAACCCCTAAAAACATGGATTCTGATTAACATATACAGCACTTACTTTTCCTTTTGATAGCTAGATAAAATATCGCAATTTACAGTGACATTGCTGGTAAGTTCAAAAATGTAGGTTCGTAAAAGAAGGACTGAGTACACAGAGAAAGGGATTTTCAACAACAGCTTCTGCAGAAGGGGAAAGAGTCAAACCCAACACTCCAACTCTCTCTCCCTCGGACCTCCTCTGCAGAGCGTTTTTATTAACAGGACATAACACATGGTTACAAAACAGAGTATTGTTCTGACAGAACAATTGATCAGGTCATAAGACAGGATGCTCCACTGACTGAATCACAAGACAGAGGGGTCTTCTGATTGAATCATAAGACAGAGTGAAGCATCTCATTTCTCCAATGTTTTATATGTACATACATCAATTTTATAATCATCATTGAATAAACCTAACAATTGCAATATTGTGATAATATTTTATTGTGACCCATGCCAATACTCACCCCTAGTAAAGAAGAGATTGACCTTTCTTTTTATGCTCAGGGATGCATGATGTATTTGCATTATTATCTGTATCGGCGCATGTTGGTCATTTTGAGGCATCATGGTGTGCATCCACTAAGTTAAACTTATCCGTTAAATGTAGGTAATAATTATAAACAGCTTCACATTAGGAAAATATGTTAGAAGAGTAGTCAGAGCACTATTATTTTTTCTCGTGCATGAAAACTTATATTCTCCTGATTTTTCATATAAACTAAAATGGATGTAGCCCCTTCATATATGTCCTTGTTCTTACTTTATGCTGACAGTTTTGCAGAGATCACGACTTAGACGCAGCGATTCCAGCCAGATCTCAGACCAGCTTCTCTGATTGGTTTCATGTCACGTTGGGCAGCAAAAGTTCTGATTTTCCAGTGTCTGACACTTTGGATGCATTTCAAACCCTTGAAAACTCACAAAATACCACTTCAGATGGTTGAAATGCTTAAAAGCGTGCTGCGCCTCTCAGCGTCCCTTGATACTCACCATAAACCGGATAACCCTGGCGCTATAAAGGCATTTAGTCTGAACGCAGCATAAGGTCTCCAAAGCCATTGCTGATGTTCTTCCTCCTTGGCATTGTGTCGACACTCCAGACCAGCACACCTCTAAAGATCCTTCTGTTATAGACATGGAATCTGTTTGCTACTTTCTCCTAGATGTGTATGGAAACAGCAAAGCTGGACTCTGCTGTTTGTTTCAAAGGGAATTCTGCTTAATAAATACATTCCCTGTTCTGTAGATGTTGTATTTAACCCTGGTCCTACTGAAGGCTTCTTCTTCCATTTCCTTTTTCATACTTTTAAAATGATTGTAAATGCATCATTAAATATCTACAGTTTTCTTGTAAATGTCCAAAGTGGAGAAGGAGCTGTGTGGCTATAACTGATCTGATCGGAACATTAAATGAAGCTCTAAGCTCTTTGCTGCTTCCTTGTTTCTGTTGTCACTCAGTTCTAAGTACGTGTGTCTTCTTTAAAGGGATCGAGTTAACAGGAGAGAAGGACATGGACCTGGCCTCCCAGGTGCAGGAGCTGCTCGAGTTCCTCCATGAGAAGCAGCAGGAGGTGGACATCAGCGCGCAGCACACACACACAAGGCTGGAGCAGACCCTGCAGCTGCGCCACCTACAGGCCGAGGTCAAACAGGTAAACAGATCTGCAGCTTACGCTGGCGTTGCCTCTCAGCAGGTTTTACCATCTGCTGGGATATTAAAGGTCTGTATTTATAATATCTGATGAGCTTTGCTCTGATCTCAAGCCAGAAGAGACTAGAGAAGAAAGTCCTAAAAAGGACATAAAGCAGCAGAAATGTGGAGCGGATTTTATGATTAGCTAAAAATCTGGATGTGGAAAGGTTAGTTCATGTTGGAACAATGACAAGAACAACACCCTGCTTAACCCCCCCCCCCCTCCTCTTTCAGCCAAGTTGTTTCATCTGCAGATGGGAACACGTTGTGTGCAGACAGGAAGCGCAGCACTGCTGCTGCAGATGGAAGCAGCTGAATAATGAATGAGCTTTAAGGCAACAAGCTAATAACCCTCATATGTGCAGATCTTGTTCTATCTTTCTGTTCTGTAAAACTGATCATACATTTATTGCAAATTGTGTGTAAGCGTAGGTCTGACTTACCGTCATGGAGCTCTCGTCCTTAGATAACCTCCTTGCTATCTGCAATCCTAAATAAAAACAGGACTACATGTCTGCAGCATTAATGAGCTGACGCAGTGAGGAGACAATGAATGCATGCATTTAGTAAAAGCTCACGTATTTACCAGGGTTTCTGGGTGTTACAGTCAGAGAAAATAGCTTTGGATTGTCAAAGAGCAAAGCTGATTATGTTAAAAAAGTACCGCCCACTGAAAGCTGGTGGATTATGAAAAAATTCAGTAGATTTGAAATTGAAAAAAAGCTTCTTTTTTAAAACTGAATTTTCCTTAAAGGAAAAAAATTAATCAATGGATCGTTATTTATACCTAAAACTAATATTTTAATAGTAATTTAATGAAATTAGCATTAATCAGTAAAAAAATAAAATA